TTTCATTGGTTCTGGTAGATTTGGTGCTGATACCAAAGTACACCCATGGCAAGATTTGACTATGCTTGCGGCATCATAGTCAATTTTAGGCCCCCATACTTTTGTTCTTAATCGTTGCTTCATGGCTACTACTCCAGAATGCCCTTCATGCGCAGCCAATAAAACTGACTTCCTGAGTTTTGTTGGAACTACTATTTTATTACCTCTTAGCAAAATGTTATTATAAGAGCATAGAGCTAATTGAAAAACTTTGAAGTTTGACAGACTGTTATCCCAGATGTCTTGGAAGACCCCTTGTTTAACCTTTTGAATTTCAGCATCGTTTGCGGAAAATTCATCTATTTCTTTCAAGGTTAAAGCTCTAGGTCTAGAATATTCAACTATTTGGTGAATAAGTGTTTAATCTCTGAATGGGACACTGTGTCGGGGAATGCAAAGTCTGGATAGTGGATCGGCTATGTTGTTTTTTCCCGGCTTGTAGATTACTCGAAAATCAAATGACTGAAGCCTGAGAACCCAACGCTCAATTCTGGCGCAAGGTTTAGATTTTTTGCCGAATATTACTTCCAGGGGCTTATGATCCGTAATTAGTTGAAATCGTCTTCCATAAAGGTATATCCTAGAATGTTCCACTGACCACACCATTCGCGGACCTGAGTTGTTATATTTCAGTAAAATCGCTCCTAGGCCTACAGGGCTCGTATCAGCTATTACTTGTGTTTGATCGTTTGGGACGTAATAGTCTAACGTTTTTATATTAGCCAAATTCTCTTTTAATTTTGCAAATGCTTGACCTTGTTCGTGTTTCCACAAATTTTGAATGTTGGCATGTTTACCTAATTTCAATCGAAGTATTTTCCGGATAGTATGTTGCAAGATTTGCGATCTATTTCCCAACAAAGTTTAACAGTCCCAAAAAACTTTGAATTTCATCAATGGTTTTTGGTGCTCGAAAACTTTGTATGACTTTGATATGTGACGTCAATGGTTTTACCCCCTGCGCTGATAACTCGTGTCCCAAAAATTCAACTCTATTTATTCTGTATATACATTTGCCTTCATTTAGGTGTACATTATGTTTATGCAATGTCAGGAGTGTTTTACTCAGGCGTTGATCATGTTCATCGATATATTTACCGTAAATAAGAATTTCATCAATAAAATTGACTGTTCCCTGGCATGAATGGAGGATTCTTTCCAATGTTTTTTGAAAAATCTCTGGAGCACATGATATTCCAAACATAAGTCGTTTGTTCCTGAATAACCCTTTACTGGTAATAAATGTAGTTATGTACCTAGATTCTTCCGATATTTCTAATTGGTGAAACGCACTCTTGATGTCTAACCTCGAAAACAATCTTGCTTGTCGGAAGTGTGGAAGTAAGGTGTCCATAGTAGGAAGTGGATGATGTTCTCGTAGAATAGCCTCATTGGCCCTTCTCATGTCCACACATATTCGGACATCCCCATTGCTTTTCAAGATTGGTACTATTGGCAAAATCCATTTAGAACGCCCATCAACTGCTCCTACAATGTCAGACTCTATCAATTCCCTTATGTTTCTTTCTACCTTTGCTTCTAATGGTATTGGTATTCGTCTGTAGGGCTGACATACCGGGCTAACTGAGCTATCGATTGGAATGCTCTATTGTATTTACATCCAATCCAATTTTAAGAACACCTAAAGCCGTCGCAGTAGATTTTCCTAGTAAGCATCTAGATCCATTTTTTATGACATAGAATGTTGCAATATCCTGATTAATTTCTACAGAAATTGTTGACCTAAATGATCCAAGAACATTCAAAGGAGTTTTGCTCCCATATGCAAATATGGGATTTTTGACTTGATCCCACACTTCAATTCTTTCTTGCTTTAAATTGTCCCATGTTTTGTCATCTAAAATTTTACTCCCTGAATCGATTAGCATATCTAGCGGTACTCCACCCAATTCACATTTAATAATACTATAATCATCGATTTGAAAAATATACTCTACATCTTCTGAGGCAACGTTATGTACGTTTTCTATCTTCCATCTACTTTTCGAATATTTTCCCACGAATTTCCGTCTTTTTGAGTTTTCACATTTGTTGCCGTACTTGTCCGGTAGGTTGTTACTGTCACGTCTTTTACCGAGGTTAGTGCGACAATAATTTTGATAGTGCCCTTTATACCCACATTTGGTACGAATCTTAAATTTTTCAGGGCACTTAGCAAAGTTTGAGGAATGATTTCCGCCAGAACGCGTACAATTATTTTTGATAAATTGACGCTCTATCTGATTTAGTTCAATAGTCGCCTGCTTCTATTGAATGAATCCTTTCTAACTGTCTATTGACAGTTTTTAAAGCATTGGCTTCGGAAATGATTCCATCCAAAGTTACCGAATCCCCTAAAGATAAAATTTTCTTTCTTAATTCGACTGACGTGCATTTTTGTACAATTTGGTCATTAAGTTGTTCAACTAAATTTGTAAATTGACATTTAGTTGATTAGTGTCTCCATCGGACTAAGAATTTTTGAAACTTCTCCCCTTCTTCCTGTTTGGTTAGGCGAAAAAGATGACGTTCATATACTTTAGATTGTTTTGGGTGGAAATACTCATTTAACTCACTAACAGCAACTTCGTAAACATCAATGTCGTCTTTTGGTGCTGCCTGAGATTGTGATCTCTTGCAAGGTGCTGCCTGCGCTATGTAGGAGTGTCGCTCTTTTCTTGGATGCTTCCAGATAGATTTCGAAAGATCTCAGCCATTTTTCCCAGCGGGTGCCTACAGATGTTGGCTCTCCCTCACAATCAAAGGGTTGTAAGGCTATTAAATTTGCCATTGGGTTGTCCCATCCTGTGGATAACATGTCCAATTTTTTATCCATACATACGTATAGCAATGCACATACAGGCCAATATCCCTTAGTTTGAACTAGTTTATCCTTACCCTCATTATTTCATACCCTCATACTCTAAATCAGTGTTTATTCTTTAAATGCACTGTCTATGTATTAGGTACAAGTTATGCAGAATTGTCAACACTAAAACGATTTTTTTTGTACACCGGTGCAAACACCAACATACCATTACGTTTAATATTGAATATGTGTTTTGTGTTAAATAACAGAAAGGAAAATGTCGGTTGGTTGTTTGATATTCGAGTAGTGAGGTTAGGTACTTAGGGGCTCAAGATTGTTGACGGGTTTTTCCCATTTTGAAATCTTGTTTCAATCAACCTAGTTCAACACTTACAAGTGACTCCAATGATCACACGGGTCATTATTGCGTGTATGCCTCCGCATTTATCATTTATACGATTTTTTTAGACTGGCATGGGAAATCGGATGAGTCATCCAAATTTAACTTACTTGTATCGACGGTTTAAGACCAATTCCCATCTAAGCAGCATCGAGCGGCGCGACGCAGAGCGACGCCGAGCAGCATGAAGCAGCGCTTTTATGTATCTGTTCCCACCTAAACAGCATGAGGCAGCATACGCGACGCGTAGTTTTGATCTAGCCGTCAAGATATCATCATCTTCGTCATCAGACAATTTTATATTTCTCGCAGCTGTATGCCATGAACTTGTTAAGCAATCTAGTAACAGTTTAACGAAAATATCCTGTTTGTATTCAATTATTTCTTAAAAAGGACCCGTCAACAATAAGTTCTTTCATATGTTATTTAAATGGATAATTAAAGCAATAGTTAATTAGCACTTACCTTTTTCATTAATTTTATTCCCTATTTCCAACCAAACTATATCCCTCCTATTTTGATTACTGTAGTTTTTATTAGCCATATCATATAATTCACTGTATTCACTAAGCTTTTCGATTTTTTCTCCGTCCATAATTAAAACTGTGATGATGACTTTTTGGCAAAATTCAACAAGTTGCTGCTTGCATGCGAAACCTTCTATTCCCACCTGTCCGTCAACAAGCAGAGCCGCGCATGTATAGCGACAAATCCTGCGAGTCAATGCTTCACGAGGAATTAAAATTTTGCTGTGTCGCGCTGCTCTGCTCTGCGCAGCGCCGCTCTGCTTAGGTGAAAACGGTTTCATTTAATTACAAGTAGACAATTGTAAGCAGCGTTTGGCTGCACCGCTCGGCTCTGCGTCGCGCCGTTCGATGCTGCTTAGATGGGAATTGGCCTTTATAATCCAAATTATCCTCGTCGCCAATGTAGTGTTCGTCCCTGTTGAATAAGACGCACTCACTTTTAATAACTCTATATTTTCACCATCGTTTTATCCACCAGTATTTATTGCTGATTCTGTAACCATTATCACTTCTCCCAGCCGGTAACAGAACATCCAGAACCGTCGATGACAGGACAGCTTCAGCGCCGCCTGACATTTTTGGTAACATAATAAATAAAGGAGACCACGCACTATAATAACAGTTGGGCTCATACAGTATAAGTGTCATCCCGACTTTATTTTGCCTGGAGATTTCGTATAAGTGATTTACAAAATACAGTCAGCGAACAGCGAGTAAGGGCTTGTTTTGTATAAGTATCAAAATGGATAGCCTCAGTAGAATTGATATTATCGACATATTAGACTCTTGGGAAACAGACATGAGTGACATTGACGATATCCCGAGAGAAAGAATTGTAAAAACTAGGAGGTTTCCCTTGATTGAACTAGATGATTTGGAGTTCAAAAGAAGACTTAGAATAAATAAAAGTACATTTAGGTGACTGGAAACTGTATTGCAAAAGAAAACCGAACCTTGATATGGAAGGTAAAACTTGAAACTATGTGTTAGGTTATTGTGGCAACTGCTGTGCTGCACAACATGTGATTAGAACAGAGTAACACTATCGATTTTTTTGAGAATGGATCTCAAAATACTGCGACCAGGGACTCAATAGTTTCATCAATTTTTATGTTGTCATGAAACAATTAATTGTCATGTAAAGATGTATGTCTTCAAAGTGTCTACCCGTTCAAAATAAAATTGTTATAGAAATTACTTTATGTAGGTATATTATATTCAATACGGATCACTTTTCCTATAAGTTATCATCGGCACTTGTATCTTCATGGGAACAGAAATAGTAATTCAATTTAGTGATAAATACTTGATATACTCTTATTTAATATAACTAGAAGGATTAAAACTTTTTCATCAAATGTAGTAGTTCGAGGAATAGATACCCACTATCCGTTTTTAACAAATTTACCTGAACGAAGAGGACAAGTTAATTTCTTTGTCCAAATCCTGTGAGAATAATGATACCTTGTCTTCAGATTTTGGTTGTTTTGCCTTTTAGTTGTTGGCCAGTTCTGAGGCCAGGCAAGCTTCTCGTAACACTCATTTTTCTGCTTGTTAAATACCAAGTTAGTCTTTTTCCATTTTCCATGATGCAAAACCATTACAAAACTGACACTGTGAATGACGACCAGATGACAACACACAGTAGCTATAAAGTGAGGTTAGACGTGGTTCTCTCGTTTTTTGTCAAGAGGCAGCAGCTTAAAGAAACTTAAGATTTTTGTATGACACTCAGTTTATTATCAGAAGCCGAAAAGTCTTGGTGAATACCACTATTGTTTAACAGACTGTTATAATTTGTACAACTGATAAGTAACCGTCTGGCAGACGCCGAATTGGTGAATACGGCCGTTAAGTATCCTAATACAAAGGTTTTATTTAGATACTTTGGTTATCTAGCTTGCAAATGTTACACGACTACAGAATGTCTTTTACAGTAAGTTGAAGCTGACTCTTCTGAATAGCCGGATTTTGTCGCCATCTGTCATGCGCAGACTTATCGTACCTCATATCTACAAAACAGGAAGTCGTGCCTTAAGACCCGCTCTATACACGTACCTTACCTATTGAAGAAGGAAATAAGCAGTTTCTCTGGTACCACTTATCGTTATCGATCAGTAATCATCTACATAACATCACCGTGTAATTATAATCGATGACAGCCAAACAAAAAGGCATAGGAACTCGTCATGCCGACCGACAATCAGCATACAAAGAAACTCCTCAAACAACGGATCATTAAGAGACCGTTTTTGAACCTTATTATCGTTATGAATAACAAGATAGATGCTAACGGTTTAAATTTTGTTGACTAGCTGATAAGGGTACAACAGCAATACCTGAAAATTAGCGACATCATCTGTCTCACAACGTGACAGGTTCCTATAAAACAATTTCCAATAGCTTCAAGTGAGAGCGCACAGGTTCGAATACAGGTACTTAGGGAAATTTAGTTCTATTTATTAACTATCCTGTTAATTTTTGAATCACACTTTACAGAGTCTCCTAAGCAGAACTACAAGCATCGATTACTTCGAAGGTTGAAATTAGAAAAATTTGAGGAATTTATAGTGGAACTTTCTATTGTGTCGGAAGCAGATACCAACTTGCTTATCATAAATGAATCATACATTATTCAAAGTTTGAAGTTCTACTCGAGATTCAAACACATTACACGTATGTTATGTTATCTTATACCTAAATCTCACTGTTTTTGAAATATCTCAAGCTTCACATAAAAACTGCAAATGCAAGCCAATGGGTTACGACATTCTTTTCTCAGATTTCTGTTTTGCCATATGATTTCTAATGCTTATAGTCGGGGACTCGCTTTGGTGGACATCATTATACAGTTGGATAAGATATAGCATTGAAAATAAGGTTATTCTTGTATAAGGTTTATGAATTTTTGCATGATATGAAGCGACAGTTGGCAAAATGCACTGCATCGCACGCAATGCTGTCACCAATTCATAAGGATTATGTGCGACATAAGGCCCCAAGTCAGCTACGAATATGCATAACAGAAAATTGAATTAATGAATAAAGTTAGTGAAACAGGACAATACAAACTATTCTACTGCCCCCACCTATTTGACAGCGATGCAGTCTAAAATTTTGTTCCTTGCCCTGCCGACAGTACCAACCACCGGGAGAATTCGTTATGACTAGCCTCGTCAACTAATCAGCATAGTCTAGGCTTGATCTCTGGTAAGATAACGAACGAAAGATCAGCAGCCATCCTCCATGCAGGACACAATGTCTATCGATAGCGCAAGGTGCCATCTACTAGCGGATTCGACCACTGGTGAAACTGTATGCCAGCTCGAATGTCAATTGGATCACCACCGTGGCTGCTATATACCGCCAATTGTGGTATTATAATAGATACGGTTACTTAGCTTAGCTTATCCTACCTGAGACCAAGCCTGGACAATGCTGAGGAGTTGGCAATCAGCTGTCATGGCAAGTATAGCGTATCTGCTTAGTACCAGAATAGGCGGCATCTGGCGGCCTCAGTAGTGACCCGGCTGACAATGCGAACTGGGATTCAGTTTCAACACACTGCTTGCTGTTTTAACTCTCGCAATGGTCGATTCTGATAATAATTAGCACTTTGTCCTGTCTTAAAGTCTCTGGAATATTCTGGAACGTCAAACAACCAAGTTTGACCCAAATTTTTCAGTTTTCTGCCTGTATCTCTGCCAGCACTAGATCGATTTTCAGGAACTACATAGCTTTTTCGGTTTTAACATCGTCGAAACCTTGAGTCAAAATTTCTTCAGAATCCGAGCGGTACTTTCCAAGTTATAGAGACTTCTGGAATTAACGAACAGACAGACCGACGAAAAAGAGTAACATAGTTTTTCGTGATGTTCTCACCAGTTGGCACGAGAAGTAAAAAGGGTGCAGAACCAATCTAACGGAATTATAAAAACAGATTATTAGTACATAATTGGACAATCGGAAGCCTTACACCCACACAAATGGGAATGATCCAGACAATTTAGAAACCCAGTCAAGATAGCGAAACTGGTTGTGAGATGAAGTCATTTGTTATTTAACTAAAAAAGATATATTTAAGCACCCTGGTAGAAGTGAGAAGAAAGAATAAAGTAATAATGAAGACAGCAAGTATAAAAAGCGGCACCCGCGTAAACGTAACGACCGAGCATCCGTCAGTAGCGCGGGTGACAAAGTAACCGGTAAACAAAAGAGAAAGATATACATCTGGCACTGTGTCGCTGTCACATCTAGTTCATTAACGGAGTAATTTGAGGATCGCCTGGCTCTTTGGACGTGGACAATGGGGCACGAGACAATGAACACTCGCAACGGTACACGTTCCAGGCATGACGGAATGAAAGGATGCGTTTTTTAGCACTTTCAGTTTTCATGAACGTTCGTGGGGAGATGTAATTTTGAAGGTTGTTTTTACGAAAAGGCTATTTTTACAATAGCGAAGAGACGAAAATAGTGTGAAGCAAGGTGATCTTAAACTTCTCACGCAATGACATTTGGTTTAAAGTATAGCGATCTTATCATGAGAATCCTGAAATTTATGCACTTACTGAACTGATATTAAAGGTTTGAAGTTGACGCAAATTACTAAAATACAGGTTGCTCTGGAAATTAGGACTTTCCTCCTCAAAAACTACTCTTGAAATAACCAATATACGGAGGAACAACAAGGTAAACAAGTAAAACAATGAACTTGAAGTGAGTAAATTTCAAGCACATACTTTTTACGCGAGGCACGATGAAAACGACCAGAAAAGCGATCTAAGTACACTCTCGAAACCTCGGCAGCAACCTGAAGACACACCGTAAACTACTACCATATCGTTATTGTTGTGGAAGCGTATTATTCACAGGTTTTTTATTTCGCACTTATCACAGTTCGGTACTTCAAAAAAGGTGCTTATGCTTAGGTGAGGTTCTCTTGAGAGGTGTATGCACAAGTTCAATATTTATTATCATCTGTCAGTATTTGTCTTCAAATGAGGTACTTACTGATGTATAAGGTTACGCAAGCAGATTCATCAATGCACACTGCTGCTATGGACCTCTGAAACTGTAGCATATTCTTAATAATTACTCAAGAGTTATCTGTTGACACTTGACGAGATAAATTGATGGACATCAACTCCCACTGCCAGACTCCGAAAAACCGAAAAATGTAGTAGTCATGTTTTATTGCTCTTCGTCGGAAGAACATAAAATTCTCGAAAATTATATACTTTTTCCACCAGTTTTATGTGGGTATGTGGAAATGATTCGGAAACTTATTCAGAACGTCATTTTATTGCGGCCTGGAGGTACACGAGTTCATTATACTCTTTTATCGTTATGGTGATATAAACTTCACTGGTAAACTGGCAAACTGAGACAATTGAGCGTGAGTAGTCCATAGAACAGAGACGGCTGATGTTAGCGTCCAGATATCAGGATATCTGCTAAGATATTGCTACGAGAGTTGATACATATGTTCCACCCCTGACCCCCTTGTAGTAAAACTATACAGGGTGTCCCGAAAAAAGTGTGCAATATTCTACCAGCGGTTTCTAGAGCTTAAAATAGGAAGAAAAGTTTATATAAACATAGATCGACAAACGTCCCCTAAGGGCGCTACGGTCTTTTAAAGGGGCTCCCCTGAAGATGGTTTTTCCTTAATATTTCCGAAACATGTTGAGATAAAGACATAAAATTTGGTATTCTAGCCTCGTTTTTTATGCTGGATTTAAAAATATTAACAATTTTAGACAGTTTTGTTTGGAAGCGTATGTAACAGGTACCGACTCAGGTTATTTTAGCCCCAAAATTTTTGTGTGATTCTATTTTTGAAATTCAATTTTAGAATTTGAAAACGTAGGGCTTTCTACATTAAAAAGGTACTCTTATTGAATATCGATAAATTGTGCCATTTTTGAATAAAATCAAACTACAGAATTTGTGACATGATAGGAAATGTACTGCGAATTTAAATGAATTGTTGATTATACATAGTTAGCCATGAATGCAAACAAAAGTTGTTTTGATTTGTTATGACTTATTTTGACGTTCAGCTGGCATTGTTAGTAATGTAAAATTACTAGATTAAAATCAATATTTTTAATAAATCGATTTAAAATGCCAAGATTTACAGATAGAGAACTGACTGACAAGCATTTTGTGTACGGGTCTTGCAATGGCAGTTCATTGGCAGCCGTAAGAGAATATCAAAGAAGATTTCCCAATCGCATAGTACCTGGACGTCGAATGTTTACTGATATTCACCGGAATTTGTCAAACAATGGAAGTTTGCGCATGCAGGGCTCAGGAAGGCCACTGGGAAATCATCGTATGGATATTGCTTTAAATATGTTTGAAAATAATCCGCAAATAAGCATACGAAATGTTTCAGAAATTATGGATATACCTCGATCAATAGAAAGAAAAATTTATGAATACATATTTGATAGTTATCCTAAAAATAATTTTAGATAGGAAGAATGACAAGAATGCAAGGGACATTCGTATCATTTTAAACGGGTGCAGCATGTAACCAAGGCAGATTTTTTACCACGAATCGGGTTTTGCCAGTAGATATTAGCAAATGAAAACACTATTCCTAGAATAT